GGATTCTGATCGCATCTCTGCAGTGGAACTTAAAGCCACAACCTTCTGACTCATAAGTGAAAGGGTGACATGATCTAAGACCACTTCGTAACATTTTAGTCAAATTGTCAACATTAGAATCAAGTTAGGGGGTCCACCAACTCGAATGCTACAACCAATATGCAGGAACCTCTTATAACGTTCATGCTCTAAATTGCAGAGATGAACAAACTCTTTTGCGTACCCAACCTGTGCTAATCCCAGGGTAAGCAGAGCACTAAGATTTACATTCCATGTGGCAATATGTGGTTACTTTGTAAAGTATTCATCTATAAAATGAGATTCTTTTTAATTATTCGTGAGCCAGCAGACATTGCCCATTCCCAGGTGCCCTTGAAAAGGTACCTTCTATGTATTGTAGGGAGTGAGTTTGAGGATTTTGAACCAATGACGCTAACAGAACAATTACATATTTCCAAATGAGGATGGTGAGTGGCATCGAGCAGAACTTGTAGATGGTGGTATTCCCATGTAGCTACTGCCCTTGTTCTTCTAGATGGAAGTGGACATAGAGTCATAGAGTTGTACAGCATGGAAACAGACCCTTCAATCCAACTTGTCCATGCTGACCCAAAATCCTAAATTAATCTGGTCCCATTTGCCAGCATTTGGCCCATATTTGTCTAAACCCTTCCTATTCATATACCCATCCAGATGCCTTTTAAATGTTGTAATTCTTCAGCCTCCACCACTTCATTTGGCAGCTCATTCCATACACACAAAGATACCCCCCCACCCCAATCCCTTTTAAATCTTTCCCCTCTCACCTTAAACCTATGCCCTCTAGTTTTGGGCATCCCCACCGCAGGGAAAAGACCTTGGCTATTCACACTATCCATGTCCCTCATGATTTTATAAACCTGGGAAGGTGCTGTCTAAGGAGCCTTGGTAAATTTTTGTAGTGATCTTGTAGATGGTAAGCATTGTGTTTTAACGGTGGAGGGATTGAATGTTTGTGGATGTGGTGCCAATCAAGTCGGCTGCTTTATCCTGGCTTATGTCAAGCTTCTTGAGGGTGCTGGAGCTGCACTTATTCCGTCAAGTGGGGAGGATACCATCACATTCACGAGTTGTGCCTTGTAGATGGTGAACTGGCTTTGGGGAGTCAGGAAGTGAGTCACTCAATACATGATTCCGAGCCATTAACCAGTTCTTCAGCAAATGTAATTACATGGCTAGTCCAGTTCTATTTCTGGTCAATCGTAATCCCCAGGATGTTGATAGTGGGGGATTCAGCAAGAATAATGTCTTTGAATATTAAGGGGAAATGGTTAACTCTCTTGTTTGAGCTGGTTGTTTTCTGCCCCTTATGTAGCACAAATGTTACTTGCTTTTTATCAGCTTAAACCTGGATATTGTCCAGATCTTGCTGCATTTGGACATGGACAGCTTCACGAAAAGGAGTACGAATGGTGCTGAACATTGTACAGTGATTGGTGAACATCCCCACTCTGTATCTTATGACGTAGGGAAAGTCATTGATGAACCAGCTGAAGATGGTTGGACCAAGCACAACATTATCCTGAGGAATCTGGGCTCTTGTGGTACTATGGTACTGCTCCTACTTCTGAGCCAGGAGGCTTTTGTTCAGGTCCCATCAGTTTCAGACGTATGTAATAACATCTCTGAACAGGTTGATTAGAAAATATTTAACCTGGGGAATTCCAGCAGCATTTTCTTGCTAAAGTTCTATTAACTCTTAAATAAAGGAAAAATCTGTGAATGCATGAGATCGGAAACAAAAACAGAAATTGCTGGAGAAAGTCAATACATGGGGCAGCATCTGAGGTGAGAAAGCAGAGTTAATGTTTCGAGTCCAGTGACTCTTCATCAGAACTGTAAGTAGTTAAGAAAAACTGGGGTTTATGCTGAAGGTGATGTTTCTTTTGGGGGAGAGGTGGGGTGCTGGAATCCACTCAGCTCCTGTCCCCGTTGGCTTTACAACAATTATCACTTTTCCCTGCGATGAAGAGGCACCAGTGTTTAAATGTTAACTCTATTTTCCTCCCACAGGTGCTGCCAAATGTGGCTGAATTCCTCTCACTATTTCTGTTTTTGATCCAATTAGCTCTTGCTAATTGACTCCTTGACTCTATGACTCCTTAATGCCAACTAAGTGAAAAGTGGACTTGCTGTCAAGGCAATCCTGATTAATATTACCAAAGTTGAAACCCCTATTTCTGAGCCAGTTTTTCCAACCTTGATTTTCCTGATGTGGTGCTGCCGGTGTTGGACTGCAGTGGACAAAGTCAGAAGTCACACCACAAGGGTTACAGCCCAAATGGTTTATTTGAAATCACTAGCTTTCAGAGTGCTGCTCTCTCATCAGGTGAAGTGCCAAAAACTTACGATTTCAAATAAACCTGTTGGACTATACCCTGGTGTCGTGTGACTTCTGACCTTGTTTTTCTTCCCACCTTTCTGTTATTTGCTTACATATCAGCTCCTCTATCTCCCCCAATTGTTGCGAGGCCAGCAAAGCAATCTCATTCTTATTTCTAAGCTGTACCCAAATGTCTCACTTGAAAATCCGTCTACAATGTCCTCCTTTGTTACTGCAGTGATGGTTTCCCTTATCAACAAGGCAATGCCTCCATCTCTCTTACATTCCTCCCTCATTTCATCTCGAATGTTGAGCTACCAGTCCTGTCCTTCCTTCAACCATGTCTCAGTGATTGCAACAATATTATATTCCCATGTGCTGATCAATGCTGTAAGTTCATCTGCCCTACTAGTGAAATTCCTTGCATCAAAATAGATACAATTTAGCTTTCCTAACCTCCCATGTGCTTATCATGTCCATGTCTTCTCCACCTACTGGACTGTCCTAGCATTCCTTCTATATCTGATTGGCCTTACTCCCAACTTTACATCTGCTCAGTGCCCCATCCCCTTGCCAAATCAGTTTAAAGCTCCCCAACAGCACAAGCAAAGCTCCCAGCAAGGACACTGGACCCATTCTGTTTCAGATGCATCTGTCCAGGTACCACCTGTTCCAGTGATCCAAAAATCTAAAGCCCTCCCTCCTATATCATCTTTTTAGCCACACGTTCGTCTGACCAACGTTTCTATTTCTATAGTCTGTAGTGTGTGGCACTGGAAGTAATTCAGAGATTACAAATTTAGTAGTATTCCTTTTTAATCTACTACCCAACTGTCTCAATTCCCAGTGCAGGACCTTCTTTCTTTTTTTTATTCACGTTATTAATACTGACATGTACCACGACTGCAGGTTGTTCACGCTGCCCCTTCCGAATGCCCTGCAGGTGCTTCGAGACATCCCTGACCCTGGCACCAAGGATGTAACACACCATTAAAATCTTGTTTGCTGTCACAGAACTACTTGTCAGTTCCTCTTACAATCAAGTCTCCCAGTCTTTTTCCTTCCTTGTTGTGCAGCTTAGCCAACTGTGGTACCACAAACTTAGATGTTGCTGTTTTCTTGAAATCACGTGGAATGAACTGAAATGGCTGAAGTTTAGCATCTATGATACTGGGGACTTCTGAAGGATATCAAGATGGATCACTCACTCAACACCTCTGGCTTATCTTTTGCACTGGTGTGCTGTGCTCCACCATTATTGAGGATGGAGATGTCTGTGGAGTCGCCTTCCTTGGTGAGTTGATGAATTGTCCACAACCGTTCACAACTGGATGTAGTAAGACTGCAGACCTTAGTTCTGATCTATTGTTTGTGGAATCGCTCAGTTCTGTCTAGCATTTGCTGTTCAGTCCAATTTTGGAGTTTCTCCAGGCTGACCTCACTTTTAGGACTGCTTGGTGCAACTCCTGGCATGCCCTCTTGCACTAGGGTTGATCCTCTGGCTTGTTAGTAATGGTAGAGTGAGGGATATGCTGGACCATGAGGTTATAAATTGTGCTTGTATACAATTATGCCCTAATGGCTTACAGAGCCTCATGAAGGCTCAATCTTGAGTTACTAGATCTGTTCGATCCCATTTAACAGGGTGATAGAGCCACATAAAACAATGGAAGACAACATTCCCTCTAAGACGTGTGGTTTTGCAGCTGCTGAGAAGCTCTGTCCACGATCGTCAGGCCAAAGAATAATTTCCACTTCCAGAAGAACTTCCACATATGGAGGTCTTTGCCAAGACCAAAAAGAATAACTGGGAACATTGATATTGAGTACACTCAATGCAAATAGGGGATTTAATCTTCAAGGACTGTGCAGTGGTCACTCTTACCGATACTGACATGGACAGGTGCAGCTGTGTAAGGCAGACCGAGGACGATGTCAAGTATCTTTTTACCTGTTGTTGGTTCCCTTACCAATTGCTGCAGACAAAGTCAAGAGGTAACGTCCTTTAGGGCCTGCTCAACACAATTAGTTGCAGTGCTGCCGAGCCATTCAGTGACAGATTTGACTTCCCCATCCAAATATGTTGAGTGCCTTTGCTACCTTCAGTGCTTCCTCCAAGTAATGCTCAACATGAAGTATTATTTCATCAGCTGAGGGGTGGGTGGTATATGACAATCAGTAGATTTCCTTGTCCATATTTGACCAGACGCTAGGAGACTACATGGGGTCCAGAGATTGTACAACTAAAGAATAATTTACATTAAACATCTGCATCTTCCATTGCTTCGTAAGAAAATTTATATCGATTTTAAAATATTACATTCATGTACATAGTGGTTTGCATTTATCTCAAAGTGCTAGAAATGTAATCTGAAACTGTAAACACACCCAGAGATGCTCTTCGGAGGGTCAGTGTGGACTCAAAGGGCCGAATGGTCTGCTTCCACACTGTAGGGATTCTATGAAAATCTATGAAATCTGTATATACTAACTCCATACAACATAAACGTTCCATTGTAACTCAAAATAAATTTAGGAAAAAACTGGCATTCATTTGAAAATATATTTATTATGCTTTTACATGAACAGCTTTTGAGCATAATTTTACAAAATTCTTAAAAATTAATGAAACCAAGAGATTCGTAGTATGTATAAAAATAATTTTAACTCTGTTTTTGAGGCTTTGATGTTTCAGAGTTCTATTGCTAGTGTGGTATCATGCTAAAAGAGCAAGGAGAAAAAATTGAGACAAGAAACTCAACGTGCGAATGTTGTACACACAGTCACAAGTAGTGTTACATCAGACATTGGCGCAGGGAGGAAAAAGCACAGTTTCTAGCAAAATATCATTTTATAGAAGGGAAAATCATGAAACTCTCCAAGAGGAACATTAGATGTGAGGAAAAGCCGGGTCTGAAAACAGGCTCACACTAGCTGTTCTTCATGGATTACACAGTAAATGAGTTTTCTCAAGGGTCCAAAATAAATTGTATGTTTGTTTATTGCAAGCCAGTTTTAAACAAACTGGAGTATTCACAACTTTTATTGGCTACATTAAGGTTCACAGCATTTGATTCTTGAAGCTATCATGCAGCGTCCTCTGGAATTTTTCTTTCAGTGCTGATCTAAGAATGCATTGACAGTTCCCTCCCACATAGATGGGGAGAGCTGCAACAGTTTAGGACACCATCAATATTAAACTCTCTACTACAACATTTAACTCAATTTCACTTTTCAGTAGATGACCCAAGTGTATTCCTGGGCTTCCAGCAATGAGTTAATACAATTTGCCTATTTCTGATATTCATGGTTACCATAGCGTGGTCTTCAGAAGTGGCACATGAGGAGTCTTGCCAAAACTCAAAGTCAAGGTCATTGCAGTACTTTTAGACTATGCTGATATTGTGCTTCACTTAGTCAATGGAGAGCATATATCAGATAATCAGCAGACACCTTTTATTAGAAATATCCATTCACAAAATAAATTATAGGAGTCATTCTATGATCAATACATCTGCAAAAAAAAACCATTTGTTTCCACCAAACATGCAAGCAATCAGCACAATACTGATTCTGCTCCTCAGGACCAATATTAAACTCAGGAGCAGAATGAAACAGATAGCAACAGATTCTTAATTGCGTGCTTTCTCATACCAAAGGTTGGCGTGAATCCATTAGCTACAAACTGAGAGTACCTCACTCAACTTGACTTTTGCGCTTTGAAATTATGCTTCTAATTGTAAAAATACATTGGTTTAAGTTTGGAAGAAAAATAAGGTCCTCTAGAAACTTGTTTTTCCGCTAATTTATTATCAATATTCAAAGCTGAACACACAAAGCGAATATTAAAATTGAAATAATATCATCTGCTGCCAACCAGCACGTATGGTACACAACGTTATACAATATACATTCACTTCATCTGATGGGCAAAAAGAACAGATCACATAAGAATGCAACAGAGCCTATATTATTAGCTAATGATGGTGAAGCCATCACAACACAATTGCATTGTGATGATGTAGATTAGTGGAGAAGATGGAGACTGATTGGTATTGCATAGTCGGTAGCATCTGACCAAAGTATTCACTAAATTTCAGCGGGCTGGGCTTGAAAATTTCTTTTCTTATATTAAACTTTGTAATAGTATCCTAAAGTGGCAAAGTATTAAGACACTGCACTAACATATTTTACACCTCTTCGTAAATGTAAAACTAAGGTGGAATCAATATAAAACACTATATCTTGCATTACTTTAAGTGTTCCCAATTCATTCCTAGTCTGCCGGCACAATATGTACAAGCCACAATAACTATAACAATAACAATACACAATTTTGTGGGTTTTTGTTGGTGATAATATTCCAAACAAGTTCACATATTTGTTTTCAGGCTGTTCTAGAAAGCATCCAAATTTTCTGAAATTTACTTCTCTTGAAGGGGAGAAATAAACGGAAGACAATAATATGGAAGAATCATTTTAGGAAATGCAAAAACCCACAACGCATATCATTGGATACCAAAGTCATCAATAATCACTAGATGTATCCTTCACTGAGAAGCTCTTCCAAACCATCCATGTCAGCCGACGACACCTGGCTCGTGGGTTTAGAGATAGAGGTACTCATGCCTCTTGTAGCCTGGCTGCCTTGGCTCCACTGAGAATTGTCTGGCTGGCTGGGCTCCCTCTTGATATCTCGGCTGCTATTCAGGAGCTTCTGACTCTCAATGAAATACTGATTTGGATGAGTTAGGGAAAATCCAACTTCGTCAATCTAAAAGGCACAGTAAAACAAACTAATGAAATTTGGCGGCTTTAAATTGTACATCATCACTTGCAGCATAAATTTCAAAATGAAAACACTTATCCTACATGCCAAGTCATTAAACAGGTCAAGAACAATAGAAGGTTAGTATTTCCAGAACGTGCATTATGAAAACCAAATTTTAAAACGTTGCTTAAAAAGAACTCAATGAGGAAATCGTAATGAGTAGTTAGATTAACCATTTTCAAAAGAAAACTGAAAATGATGGCACATTAGTTCAAATTATTCTGAAATGAAGCAAAATAAGTTTTGCCAAATAATTACAGACAATGCTTTTAACAAGCTAATAAATTCTTTCAGCCTCATTTACTCTGCATAAGATGTGAAAAGCATCAACTTATAGGCACTGGACTTGTAGGATGACAGCGTATTCAAATGAGATTTCAATTCAAACTCGAATAGATCAATTTGCATCAAGCTGTTACAGCAGCAGTATATGACCTCAATATTCTAATCAATCCCCTAAAACAAAGTTCAATTACACTGGGAAAATGTAAGCTGATATGTAAGGAGTCAAAGCTAAAACTACAACTTCCAACTAAAAGACAACAATTTGCGTTTATATAACCGTGTCCATCAATTTAAGATGTCTCAAAGTGCTTAGACAAAAGTAATTGCTGTATTGGAGATGCTGCCGTGCTGGCAAATGTGGCAGTGTAATATACTGAGATGTGGCCACTGTTGCATGCAAACAGATCCCTGGAGCCACAGGGGTGATACACCAAAGGGTGCAATGGTCCTGCCTATTAGAAACAATACTTTTCCCTTGCAGCCCAGTGAAGATTCAGAAGCTTCCCCATGTTCAAGGCTCAAACAGGTAGTCATGAAGGAATCTCCGTGAAAAATCTGAAAATTGCCTGCGTACAATGAAAATTAACTTCACTACATTGAGGATGACTTGGCAACCTCCCTTGATCTTTCTTCAGCATCAAGATTGATGAGAACAATGAAGTAATCCAGAAATGACTTATTGAGAACCATCACCTCAAGGACAAGTCAGCATAATCAAAGTACAAAACATCTGCTGAACACAAGTTGAGAAAAATACAAGATGTTTGGCTGAATCAAAAAGCAGATGAATTTCTGTCATATGCAGACCACAAAGACTGGAAAAGATTCCATAATACTTTGAAATCTGTCTACATGGGCCTCAGTCCACTACTACTTCATCAAACCTTGGTAACAAAGACAGGACAACGCTGCTGACAGAAATAGCTTAAGCTCTAGAAAGAAGTATAAAGCTCTTATCAAGTCCTCAATTGGTCTTTGTCCATCAATAAAGAAGCAAACAAAAAACTGCCACAGTACTGTATGCTATCAAGTGCTCTTTTGATAATTGGCCTGTGCTGTTAGAAACACAAATGCAATTAAACCTGTGTTTAATAGCAAAGCTCTAGGAACTGACACTATCCCAGCTAAGGTCTACGAGGCTGGAGGGTGAGTGCCTGGTTAAGACGTTCACTGAACTTTCTCAGCCCCTGTAGGAGCAAGAAACCAACCTGCACAAATACAAAGATGCTTCCATTAGCCACTACTACAAGTGGAAAGGAATGCACTAATTTTATGACACTCTGAGGAATCTTACTTCTCTCCATTGCTGTCAAAATCTTCACCAGAATCCTTCCAAACTACTTTGTGCAATATTTCAATCAGCATCTGCTGCCAGAGTCAATGCTGTTTCAAAAATGTTTCAGGAATCAGTAATGTGACGTTTCGAGTTAGACAGATCCAGAAGAAATTACAAGAACGGGACATGAATTTCTTAACACACGTGCTAAAATGGCACAATCAGCCACAAGAGTCTTTGGAAGCTAATGAAGAAATTCAACTGTCCTAAATAATTCAATGCAATGGTTTGACAGTTCAACAATTACATCCTTGTCATGTACTGGACAACGACAAGTTTCCTAATCCATTGTTAGTCACAAATTTGATTAAACACAAATTGCGTGTTCACAGCAAATTTCTTCAGCATGTTTTTCTATGCTCTCTGATGCCTTCCCTGATAGTGATCTGGCATTGCAATTACATATCGTACGGTCAGGAAGCTGCTAAATCCAAGGTGACTCCAGACAAAGATCAAAGTCTCCAAGGACATATTCTACAACTACCTGCTAGCCGATGACTGTGCACCAACCGCCAGTTCAGAGCTGGAATTGCAGCATAGCATGACTTGTTCTGCAATGCATATAACAACTTTAACTCTCAGTTCAGCACAAAAAAAAACTGAAGCAATGTATCAGGTTGCTTCAGGGAAGTCTCAAGTCCAAGGTTTCAATCCATGACAGAATCTGTCATCAATGGATAAATTCACTTGTACTGTCAGCACACTGAGACATATACAAGAATCATCAAAGCAAATCAAGTGTAGCCTTCGGCAGATTTCAAAAGCAAACCTGGGGATGAAGGCAAATAGGTCTGCCTAATGAACAAAGTTTATGTTGCATAGTCCTGCACACTGCAGGCGAGGCTTATACTATGTACTAGGGTCTTGACAAGGAGCACAACCACTTCCGCTCGAGGTGACTCTAATCCGAAGATTAGATGGCTGGACAAAACACCAGACACTGAGATGATCAACCAGGTTAGCATACTGTGGTTATCTTCACACCAAAGGAGAAGCAAGAGCGCAGCCAACATACAGTCATAAAGGTAGAGTTATACAGCATGGAAACAGACCCTTCGGTCCAACTTGTCCATGCCGACCAGATATCCTAAATTCATCTCATTCCATTTGCCAGCATTTGGCCCATATGCCTCTAAACCCCTCCTGTTCACGTACCCATCCAGATGCCTTTTAAATGTTGTAATTGTACCAGCCTCCACACTTTCTCTGGCAGCTCATTCTATACTCGCAGATCCTCTGCGTGAAAAGGCTGTCCCTGAGGACCCCTTCAAATCTTTCCCCTCTCACCTTAAACCTAAGCTCTCTATTTTTGTACTCCCCAACCCTGGGAAAAGATTAGTCATTGAATACTGGAGAGCTTACACTAGTCACCATAGCTAAAGATGAAGTGCAAAGCAATTGTTTGACATATAGTCAAGTTCTCACAAGCAATGTGTGAAAGAATGGTACAAGCAGATTCAAGTGACTTTCAAAGGGAAATAATTTATAGTTGAAAAACCTGCAGAGCAGGAGAGTGAGATTGATTGGATTCTCTTGTAAAAAGCAGGCACAACTATGCTGGAATGAATGGCCACCTTTTGTGTTGTGAGACACTAAATATCCCAGCTCAAATAATACAGAATTATCATCAATTTCTTCATAAATGAATATTAGGTTAAAGTAGTATAGTTAAATAAACAAAAGCCTCCAATGATCAAAACTTGAAAAGGTCACTATGTTCCAGAGGTGCTGACCCACTGCCTGACCATTAAAACAGCACATGAAACATTCCTAGCTAAAGTCTCCATAACAAAATAAAAAAAATCCAAATGTATTATTTCAGAAATTTTACTTAACAGTTGAAACAGAAGCCAATTCTGACAAGAATGACATTTTTAATTATGTTGTGCCTTTTGCCAAAACATCCCTCAAAAATCTTTAAATTTCTGTCACAAAGAATTCTTAGTTTTGTTATTATTGTTGCTGTTGCTGTACAAAGAAACGAAGGGAGGAACACACCAGGAAGCCTAGGACCACCAGCAGCCTCCAGCTGATGCTAAACAATGTCCACATGAACAGGAGCAAATTACTGCAGATGCTGGAATCTGTACTGAAAACAACAAATGCTGGAGATCATAGTGGGTCAGGCAGCATCCATAGAGAGAGAGAGAGCAAGCTAATGTTTTGAGTCTAGATGACTCTTCTGATGCTGATAGAGTGATCTAGACTTGAAACATTAGCTTCCTCTCTCTCCATGGATGCTGCCTGACCTGCTGTGATCTCCAGTATTTGTTGTTTTTAGTCCATATGAAGCGGTTGCAGTTGAGGATCCCTTCATGATGCACAGGAGGTTCAGATTTTATTGCCCTCAATGCTATTTCCTGAAGATCAATGAGATGTAGTGATACGGCAGAAGTGCAGATGAGGATGTCCTGGAACACTGTTCTGCTGAAACAGGACCTGCTACCTGAAGGAGTGGATCTTTTCCAAGGGGCCAACAAGGTGACAGCTGTGCTGAACTTCTATGCAACATGATACCTGCAAGGGCACCTATGAGGGATTGCCCACCCACAAATGTATTATGGCCAACACTGATGCAATTGTGCCAGATTGCACTGGTTTATTTTGATTCCCTGTAATGGGATCTGTGCTGCAGTAGGCAGTAGGCTTCGCCAATATAGTTGACTCTCTAGGTGCAGGGCGCTATATACTGTTCACATCATGCTGAGAGGTCTATACACAGCTGACTTAATCTACAGAAAAATGTTCCATTTCATCAATGTGCAGTTATCTGTGATCAGCAGTGACACAGTTTAGAATTCCACATAGGAACCATGGGAGCCACCATGATGCCTACACCCTTGAGAACTTCCTTCTTCCTGCTAGGTTTGAGCGGCCAGATGTATGTGATGGACCAATAGTGGACATTACAGGAAAAGCAGCAGTGACATAGCTACATCCTACCTTATTACCCTGTCTGCAGACAAGTAAGCTGTGTAGTTTGGTTCTTAAACAGTGAAAGATGTAGAAAAGTTCAGGGAAGTATTAGCTGTGCTACCTATGTGCCCTGAGAAACACAGGTTTGTGGTTGATCAGGTGCAGGGTTGAGGTTCAAAGATGATGCCACTGCCATGATCCTGAGAAATCTTGGCAGTGGTAAAAACATCTGCCAATGATGAACGGGAGAATTAGATGTGTGGCACGGCACAGGATTAATGAGGCAGGTTTGGGACAATTGCATGATGAAACTTGATCAGCCTCGGACAGAAACCCTCCATGAAACTCAACAAAAATGACACAGCCAATTTCTGGTGAAATTCAACCCATGAAAACAAATTGCAAGAGCTTCTATCACTACTGAAAAAGGAAAGCATTAACAAAATAAGCATTGGTTCTACAAAAGGAGTGTCAGGGAAGTTAGTAACGGGAAAAAAAGAAATTACTATTAGTCTTCATTATAGAGAATATAAGTAACATTCCAGTATTCTGGTTTCCCTGCTATAGGAAAGATGTTGTGAAACTTGAAAGGGTTCAGGAAAGATTTACAAGAATGTTTCCAGGAGGCTTTGAGCTATACGGAGAGGCTGAATAGACTGGAGCTTCAGAGACTGAGGCGTGACCTGACAGAGGTTTAAAAAGTCATGAGGGGCAAGGATAGGATAAATAGACAAGGTCTTTTCCCCAGGGTGGGGGAGTCCAAAACTAGAAGACACAGGCTTGAGTGAGAGGAGAAAGATTTAAAAGGGACCTAAGGGGCAACTTTTTCATACAGAGGGTGGGGCATGTATGGAATGAGCTGCTACAGGAAGTGGTGGAGGCTGGTACAATTACAACATTTAAAAGGCATCTAGATGGGTATATGAATAAGGAGGGTTTAGAGGGATATGGCCAAATGCTGACAACTGGGGGTTAGATTTATTTAGGATATCTTGTTGGTATGGATGAGTAGGACCAAAAGAGTCTGTTTCCATGCTGTATATCTCTATGACTCTAAATAACTGTAAATCAGGAAACAGAAGAAAGGGAGGAACTCAAGAAAATCACATTCAACAGGAAAATGGTGCTGAGAAAATTGTCAGGCCTGCAGCTGAGAACATTAATGTTGTTTTGTTACTTTACAATACTTTGGTATGCTGCTTTACCTCACAGTAAAGAACAATTCTGCATGGTTCCTAGGGAAAAAAATCTCAATGATATGCGAGTAGTGTTGAAAAGAAATACATGCTGTTGAAGCATTTTGGCTTACACTTATCAGGAGAGGTACAAGAATGCCAAATTTCAAAAGGAACAATAAAACTTATACTCCATGAGTAAAAGATGTTAATTGGTTGCCAAATCAACACAGATTGGTCAAGGTATTTCCTCCAATGTGGCTCTCTTACAGTTTCCAGATACATTCATTCAAATGTAGGAACTTGTCCTCTACAAGAGAAAGGAACGTATCCAGACATTCAGCTCCTGTTGAATTTAAAAAAAACATGACTACACTATAACCAGAATCAACCTGCCAACCAATCAGCACCCTCTTCTGAGACACTAAAATTTGTAACTTTCTTTGAAATTTGGTGTTCTTGCATCAGGCCTGATGACTGAAAGATGAAAATCTCCAACACCGTTTTTAGTCAGCAATGCTCACGTTTCGTATCAGCAAAAGACAATAAAACATTTGAACAAATTACACACAGATGGACTACATGCACAATCCTTACATGGCAAAGTGTCAATTCACCTACTCAAGCAGCACTTCTACTGCCCACAAGTTTTGATTCACAATCAATTTTCAATCATATCTTGTTTCCCCTGACAATACTTCGCACGATTCTATGTGTGTTCTGCGGATTCTATTGAAGAATGATGTGGGAGATAATCTTCCTTAGAATGTCCAACAAACATTTACCATTTTGATACATGGTCTCGCAAAATTTAATTATTTAGATTTTATTGTCTTTACCTAACATAACATTTAATCTCATCTGACAGTAAGTGGCATAAATAATTGCAGTTTTAATTCCTTGAAAGGGAAATATAGGCCTAATTAACGTATCATGACTTTTAAGTGTTCAATTTCTTACTTGCCACACCCCCCAAAAAAATGCCCAAAATATAAAGCATTGCTGCAAAATACTAAACATAAGGAATCACGTCTCGGTAATAAGACCGTAAAACTTAACAAATCACGACAGCTAATAATGGTTGCAATTATTCTTCTGAGATGGCAACTTTCATATACCAGTTCCAGTCACTTCCCAAGGCTGACAAAGCCACTCTCATTACTGTGCAGTGCAAATTAAATGTGTCCTTACATTGTGGGTTAGCTCAAAGTATTTCTGACAGGCCAGCTGGTAATGCATCCCCTTGACTAAATCCAGAATCTGTAATGGGAGAAAAAGAAAGAGACTTGTTGAGAAATCTCACTCATCCAATTTCTAAATTAATAGATAGCAATAATAGATATTTAAAATCTCCAGTGTCACTGTGTCTAGAACAATCACAACTAGTAAGACAAAACATACAGGTCCATTGGTCCAATAATGCAACAATCAGAAAGCATTTGATGAAGTGCCACATAAGAGATTAATTTGCAAGATTAAGTGTATTGGTGGAAGCATATTGAAATGGACAGGAAACTGGATGGCAGAAAGGAAACAAAGAGTAGGAATTAATCGGTCCTTTTCAAATTGGCAGGCAGTAACTAGTGGGGTGCCACAGTGATCGGTGCTGGGACCCCATAATATATATGTTAATGATTTGGATGAGGGAACAAAATGTAACATCTCCAAGTTTGCAGATGATATCAAGTTGGGTGGGAGGGTGTACTGTGACAAGGATGCAGAGATCCTTCAGCATGATCTCGACAGGTTGGGGGAGAGTGAGCAAATCAATGGCAGATGCAGTATAATTTGAATAAGTGTGAGGTTATTCACTTTGGATGCAAAAACAAAAAGGCAGATTACTATCTAAATGGCTGCAAATTGGGAGAGGGGAATGTACAGTGGGACCTGGGCGTCCTTGTGCAGCAGTTGTTGAAGGTAAGCATGCAGGTGCAGCAGGCGGTAAAGAAGACAAATGATATGTTGGCCTTCATTGCAAGAGGTGTTGAGTATAGGAGCAGGGATGTGTTGTTGCAGTTGTACAGGGCCTTGGTGAGAACGCACCTGGAAAACTGTGTGCAATTTTGGTATCCTTTTCTGAGGAAAGATGCTGTTGCTCTCGAGGGAGTGCAACGAAGGTTTACCGGGCTGATTCTGGGGATGGGGAGTCTGATGAATGAGGAAAGATTGACGAGATTGGGATTGTTTTCGTTAGAGCTCAGACAAATGAAGGAAGATCTCGGAGACTTATAAAATTCTAATAGGACTGGACAGGGTAGATGCAGGGAGCATGCTCCCGATGGTGGCTGCGTCCAGAACCAGGGGTCAAAGTATGAGGATTCAGGGTAGACGATTTAGGACAGAGATGAGGAGACATTTCTTCACCCAAAGAGTGGTGAGCCTGTGAAATTCATTACCACAAGAAGCAGTTGATGCCAAAACACTGAATGTATTCAAGACGCAATTAGGTATAGCACTTGGGGCGAATGGGATCAAAGGTAATGGGCAGAAAGCAGGCTTAGGCTATTGAGATGGACCATCAGCCATGATCATGAGAATGGCGGAGCAGACTCGAAGGGCCGAATGGCCTCCTCCTGCTCCTATCTTCCATGTTTCTATGTTTAAACTTCTTCTGACACATTCTTCCTTGTAACTGAAATCCAACTACAACGAGCAGCATTTAATCTAGTGGAGATGGCAGATAAATGGAATATCATGCGAGATTTCTGCTATTCCTATGACTTTAATAACTACACCTTCACAAAAGCTAAGTAGGACAAGGGAATGAATGGCCCCAGTCTGAGCAGCTATTACCAGTGTCACTGCAGGAATTGTTATGCATTCTGATGCCTAATTCGAGCTAAATTTAATCTATTTGCCTTTGTATAAACTGCCATTCTTATTGATTTTCTGTAGTACCTGCTGGGGTCTGTAAAGCTTTTCCTTTATTATGCTACATAAACAGAATTTTCACTCACTCTGCACCAATTACATCTGCTCCAAATTGGCAAAGTGAGAAGATAACCATCCAAGTTCAAAATTCTGAACATTTTATGTCTGTTATTTGTGACGGTTGCACACTCAAATGCAAGCAGTCTTTGAATTTCAAACTCCCTGGTAGTTGTCGCTGAATATCAGTGTATAGGTATTGACAGGTGTCTCGGACAATGTCACTTAGCAGAAGATCACAGTAATGACATTGTTAAAGCTAGGCAAAATCTCATCCTTTTGATTTCAACGTTATTGTGAGCCCCTCCAACAGGTGTCCTTAAAATAATGGAAAGGTTTTAATCTAACATCAGTCAATACAGACACCCACATCTGTCAAATTCTTTAAACATCTGACCTGTATGTTCTCTCCTTCTTCTGCGAGGTAGCAACCAAGTAAAATCCATCATAAGATAGTATGTCAAACGCCCACGAGAGCAATAAAACCTGCCATTGTTTTGTATTTAATAAATTGAAGGTAAAATAAAATATATTCCACACCTCTCTGTGTTCCATGTTATGTTAATGCCCTGAAGACAGTTCTTGGGCTGTGGCTTGTGCTGTTAAATTAAAACACAAACACTGAATTGCCATCAACACCTCTGGATTTCAAATGCAGGGAGGCATAAATGTCAACAGTCATTTCAAGACTCGTTCATTTTATACAGAAGGGCTGTGTTATAAACAAAAGTTTGAAACATTCCTTACTGAAGGAAGAGCAAGAGAATTTGCATGATTCTAATACATCTTGCCTAGAAGGTGGGTGCTCACTCAAAATAGAACTGAGTAGTCAGCGTATTCAGAGTGCAACCCATTCTGTACCTGGTTCTTCCTCTTGTATGTAAATTCTGTCTGAAGAAAATGTCTTTTTTCCTCAAGCATTTTTTGGGTGCCCTTTTGGAAAAAGTCTTGGAAATTCCCGTTGCTAACTGTGGTCTACTTGAACACGGGTACTCTGATTGCAGAACTGAGATAATGAGGCAAAATCAAATGAGTCAACCTTCAGATGAGAGGTTCCACCAATGCCTTTCTGCTATCATAGCTGGATGTACAAGATTCCACGGCCACTACCAGAAAGAACAGGTGAGTTCCTGCTGCTGTCCTGCCCAATATATATCTCAGATCCATTATCATTAAAACAATGGTGATTGTCACATTACTGGAAGCAATGTTGTTCTACTCCACTTGGAATTTATACTGTCCAGTCTGTTATGGTGAGTAGTGTCATTTCCGGTTTTGTTTTGTATGGGTTTGTATACAGGGTCCAATCTATATGTTTGTTGATTGCATTATAGGTTGAGAACCATGTCTCTAGGAATTCCCATGTGTGTCTATGTTTGGCTTGGGATACCACAGGTACGTTGTCCCAGTTAAACTGATGGCCTTAGTATCAGTACACTCAGACAATGAAGGGAAGTTCATCGTGTTGTTTTGCTGCTAGCTGATGTTCATGTATTCTGATGGCTAGTTTCCTTCCTGTCTGTCCGATGCAATGTTTGTGGCAGTCGTTGCATGGTATTTTGTAAACTACATTAGTTCTGCATGTTGTGGGAATGGGATCTTTAATCCTTGTGAGTGTTTGTCGTAAAGTGGTTGCGGTCTTCGGAGTCTCGTTGTCAGTTCTGATATGTTCTTGTACAGCGAGGTATAGCATCTAAATCAGGATGCATAGGCCAGGAATATGTTAGATGTAAATCGTGGAAGACAGGTGGGATTAGCGCAGAAAGGTAAAAGATAGAAAAGAAAGATTTAAAAATAATCTCCAATTCTAATTTTCTTCTAACTTTTCTGAAGGGATGAAACTCCACACTTAAAATTAATGGCCTCCATGGCACTGACAAATGGTCACATCACAGCAACTAAAAATTTATTCTGGAGTGCCCCAGTCCTAATTTTGACAGTATTTTTCTGAATTCAGAAGGATCACAGGTTTGAAGGGGGGAGGGGGAGGGGGTTGAAAAAGCAAATAGGAGAACCAAAGAGAGATTATGAAAGAAGGGTAGCAGTGAACATTAAAGGAAATCCCACAGCCTTCTAAGTAAATGGAAAAAGAGTGGCAAACGAAGATTAGTGCTATTTAGGGACCAAAAAGTGGATTTTCACATGGAAGCAACAGGCATGGCTGAGGTGACAACTTAACATTTTGCATCTGTCTTTAATTATAAGGCAGCTGTTACCCAGGCCAAGGTGACAGATCAGAGGTTCAGTCACTAGAAGTGCTTAAAATTCATAAAGGAGGTGGTATTGGACAATACTTAAAAGTTGATAATTCACCATGACCTGATGAGTTATACAGTCATAGAGTCAAACCGCATGGAAACAGATCCTTCAGTCCAACTTATCCACGCCAACCAGTGATCCCAATCTGACCTAGTTCCATTTGCCAGCATTTGGCCCATATCCCTCTAAACCTTTCCTAGTTATGTACGCATCCGGATGCCTTTTAAATGTTGTAATTGTACCAGCCTCCACCACTTCCTCTGGCAGTTCATTCCATACACACACACTGCGTGAAAAAGTTGTCCCTTAGGTCCCTTTAAATCTTTCCCATCTCACCTTAAAGTTAAGCCATCTAGTTTCGGACACCCCTAACCTGGGGAAGAGACCTTGGCTATTCACCCTATCCATGCCTGTCATGATTTTATAAACCTCTATAAGGTCACCCCTCAACCTCTGACCCTCCAGGGAAAACAGCCCCATCCTATTCAGCCTGTCTCTACAGCTCATATCCTCCAACCCTGGCAACATCCTTGTAAATCTTTTCTGAACCCTTTCAAGTTTCATAACATCTTTCCTACAGCAGGGAAACCAGAAGTGAACACGGTATTCCTAAAGTGGCCTAACCAATGTCCTGTGCAGCTGAAACATGACAGCTCCACCACCAACCCCCCAACAACACCGATACTCAACGCACTGATCAATAAAGACAGTGAAAGGTGATGCACTTTTGAATATGGAGAAACAGTATAAAATGTGCGCAGTAGCAGAGGGGCCTGGGAGTATATGTACATACATCATTAAAGGTGGCATGACAGGTCGAGAGAGCTGTTAATAAAGCACACAGCATGTTGGGCTTCACAGCTTATGCAAAACACTGATTAGACTTCAGCTGGAGTACTGTGTACAATTCTGGGAGTCATGTTATCAGAGGGATGCAAATGAGTTGGAAAGAATGCAGAATAGGTTTTTAAGAATGACAGTTGAAATTGTTTTCCTTGGAGAGGAGAAAGCTAAAAGGGGACTTGACAGAAATCTCCAAAATCATGAGGGATCAGGACAGAGAGAAAATGATC